ATTTACTGTTATTACTACAGTAAGTACATGTAACATATGTAACAAGGACACCGTAAAATAAAGTGTTACCAAAGTCTTTTATTTCTTGGCTGTGGCGTAACAGCATATTCATGGCTCTCATGGCTCACGTATACTAAATTAGGAAGGGGTGTAGAGTTACACTCAAGTAAGGGTTAATGCCCGACGAGGTGTCCGTTGTAAGGTTTTAATGGACGACGGCGAGGTGTAAACCGGCCGACGCGCAGCGGAGGACGGTTGCCTCCGCCGAAGTCCATTAAAACCTTACAACGGACACCTCGAAGGGCATTAACCCGCTTATACCATGGTCACTTGCCAAATAAAACATTTTTAAAACATTAGTTTATATTTTAATTAGGCTAAATCTAGCTTTTTCAAATAATAACTTGCCTGACGATTTATTTAGCAACTTGAGATATATAGTCCGCTCAGCTTGTAGAACCCTTCAGGTTCAAAAATGCATTTTTTTTTTCATGAAACACAAAGGTAGGCATAGTTATTTTTTTATTACACATAAAACACTATGTGTTACACTAGTCTACACTAACCACAGCCTCCGAAGCACCGCTGTAGGTCGACTCTCCGATGCTGGACTGGAGAGCCGTCAAATAATGTCGGTGACAGGCCATCGATGCGAGAGCAGTCTGCGGGCTTACTGGGCTCCGTCAGTCCGTGAGAGACTGAAGATGAAATAACGAAGTCGCTCATTGTTGTATTAGTAGGCTATGTAATATCTAACTAACGTTAGATGTTTGTTTTGATAGAGCAAATTGTTAACGGATACTTTGACTGCCTGTTGCTATGGTTACTCACAGCTGTTGTAGGCAGCGCATTTATTTATTAATTTGTAACGGTAAACAGGCAGTTTCACCAGAACTCCTTTACTAGGTGTCCTCTATCACTTTTTAACGGACACCCTGCAGCCAATCAGAATCGAGTATTCACCCAGACCATGGTATAAGCTATTTTAAGGCATGTAGAAATTTTTTTTCACAAGAAAAAACGTTTAAATATGTCATTTTAGAGATCAAAGATGAGTTTTAAGGGATATTGACTACAAGGGGACTTTATCAAAGTGACTTTGCCAACTACTGGTCAGGCAGCAGAATACAGAGTTTTTTTTAATCATTTTGGTGGATCTGTTTGAACGGAGATTGTTTTGACTACATTGGCGTCTGTACGCAAAAAAAAGTTTCCGTTTTTAGTACATCGTTGTCGTGTAAATTATCCTTTCCATACAATAAATGGTAATTGAGTACAACCTGTATGTATTGTGCCAGGAGGAGAATAGTGTGAGTACTTCACTATGTCGGGTCTCTCAGTATGATCATGAGCCTTTATTACATTTTACACTTGCACATGATTTTAGTGTTTTACTGATGTTTCGGTGTGGACAAGAAACTTCTGGAAAATGTGCGTGTGTGAAAATGCTAAAATGTGGAGGAAGAGCGTTTTTCGAAATGTATCCAGATTAATGTAGCATTCAAGAAATGCATTTGACTCACACCTTGACACACTTACCCTTAAACCACAAAGCACTATTTCACAGTGTCACACCTACATCTCTGTTCTAGCTTGTACTTTTCCAAGTCATTTAGGAAGTGTGTATTGGCCCACTTCATGTTACATAATCTCCTCGGGATGAATCACTTGTTCAGAGGCAATCCTTTTATAAGTCACTTTGGATAAAAGCATTTGCTAGATGAATAAATCAATATCAGTTGAATTACCCTTAAACAAACATTAGACTGAATTGATCTGTAATTCAAAGCAAACAATCTACAGCAATCTACCCAAAAATAAAATGTGCCAAACATCATATCTGCATTGGATATGATTTCAATTAGTTGATTATTTATTGTAATAGGATTAAAGCTGGCGCCGTACTTAGGTTTGGAGTAAATATCATGTAATCTCCTTTCTCCTTGTATAAAACTATTCCTTTAATGTCACACAAGCTTTTCATCATCTAGAAATGATTTACTGACTATGACTGAAAGCAGCTGAGAGATAAAGACTGTCCGAATCACGATGAGAAAAAGCTCAGTCATAAAAGATTCACAGATACAAGCAAAACAGCAGCTGCAACAATTCATTAGCACTTCATCCACAAATAACTTTCAATGATCTAAATATGAGACTCAAGTTTCCAACTGAAGAATCTACCCAAACACAAAATTAAGGCTTCTTATCTCAAGATTTAACGTTCTAAACTCAAGATTCAATACTTTAACTCAAGATTGCAAATACAAGATAGAAGTGTCTAAACTCAGTATTCACAATTCTAAATTCAAGGTTCTTGAGGTTCTAAACTCAAGTTTACAGGTAATAAATGAAAGATTCTAAAGATCTGGCCACACTTTAACTTAGGCCACACTTTAAAACTATGCTCTTGCTTCAATACACTCCTAATTGCTGCTTATTAATAGTTAGTAAGGTTGTTAAGTTTTGTTTTGGGTGGGATTGAGGGATGTAGAATGTTCATGCAGAATTAGCCATTAATATGTGTCTTATAAGTACTAATAAACAGCCAATATCCTAGTAATATGTAATATGCATGCTAATAAGCAACCAGCTGAGAATTGGACCCTAATCTAAGATTCTAAGATCAAAAGTATAAATTCAAGATTCTAAACAATATTCAGAGTTCTATACTCATTATTATAGATTCTATATTCAGTATTTAAGATTCTAAAGTCAAGGTTCTAAACTCAAGATTTAGTATTCTACACTATTCAAAATGGAAGATTCTAAACTCTAAACTTCAAAATTCTAGTGTCTACACTCAAAATTGCAAACTCAAGTTTCAAAGTTATAAACTCGAGATTCTATCTGAAGATTCTAAACTCAAGATTAAGGATCCTAAACCTAAACTCATTATGCATGATTCTAAATTTAATTTCAAGGTTCTACACTAAAGATTCAAGATTCTAAACTCAAGATAATAGATTCTAAACTAAAGATTCAGGGTTCTAAACTCAAGAATCAAGATTCTATACTCATTATTTAAGACTACACGGATCTAAACGGAAGATTTAAGGTTCAGTCCTAAATATTTGTGGTCATCTGTCAGAGAGGGCGTCCCGCACAGTGCAGTGGGCCAGACGGCTCTCTCTCTCTCAGCAGTAGATTGAATGTCACTTCAGTAATGTCTGTCCTCACTTCCCCCTTTTTCAAGCCTCTCACTTACTATTCAGGCCTTTCTTCCTCCATTCAGGTCTTTCTCCTCTCATTCACAGACCCTTTCATCCCATCCATCCATCCATCCCGAACAGCAGAATTTTTCATTCGGTTGCTATGACTCCCTAACCTCTGTCCTCTCTGACTCCTCCTCCCTCATCCGATTTCCCCACTATAAGTCCCTCTTTTTCTTTCTCTCCTCTTTCTGTATTGTTGATTTATAGTCGTGGTCCGGTACATGCATTCTGTCTCGGTGACTTTTATAAGGGACCGTCACACATTCCTCTGTTTTTAACTCTGTTTCTCTTTAACTTCTCTTCCTCTATCCTTCTCTCTCACAAAGACGCTTTGCTTGTACAGTAATACCCATGACCCCTGCGGTCACCCCCCTCCTCCTTCCTTCATTCATTCTACATCTACTTTGTCCTCTTAAGGCTCAGGTCATTTACAGCCTCTCAAAAACGCCTTTATTCTTGCTTATCTGCTAGTTCTGAGCTTTCTGAGAATCACTGCCACGCCAGTCTAAACTGAATCTGTGCACATTTTTCACATTTTCTACACTGACTGTGAAGTAAAATCGGCAGAATTAGTTTAGAAATGGCAAAACTTGTTGAACAGAACTTTGGTAGATGAGATAGAAGTGTAATCAAAAGCCAAAAAAAATCTTTTTTTTTTATTTGAAATCAAAATTTTGTTGATATTTTCAGTATAGAGTTATCAAAAAAAATTCTCAACTTCTAAGCCATCTTCGATTTTTTTCTTCTTAAAAAAAAAAAAAAAAGCTAATCACAATGAACTGCAAGATAACACTTCATAATAAGTATACATTAATAAAGTATTTACAAATAATTTGCAAACTATTTAATTAATAGTTTATAAACTGTAGTTAATACATTAATAGACTATACAAGCAGTGAGTTCTTTCATTGAGAGAGTTCATTCAGTTCATTCATTGTCGCTGTAATTAACAAATTATTATTGTTTAATTAGCTCATAGAAATAGTTAGATTATTAACATATATTAACGTAAATAGTTCTCACTTTAGATTAGGCCACGGAAAATGTCATTAATTAAGTGCTTTAAACCAAACTTTATTGGACATGATTTATAAGTGCTTTGTTACCGTAAACTTATTATAAAGTGTTACCAATATTTCTATTTCAAATAAACGCTGTTCTTTTGAACTTTCTATTCATCCTGATTATCAACATTGATAATAAACAGAAATGTTTCTTGAGCAGCAAATCAGCGTATTATTATGATTTCTGAAGGATCATGTGACACTGAAGACTGGAGTAATGATGCTGAAAATACAGCTTTGATCACAGGAATAAATTACATTTTAAAATATGTTCAAACAGAAAAGAGTTTTATAATAAAATTGAAATAATATTTCACAATATCACCATTTCCACTGTATTTTGAATGAAATAAATGCAGCCTTGGTAAACATATGACACTTCTTTGACATAAAAAAAAACCTTAACGACCCCAAAGCTTTGAACGGTAGTGCCTTAAAATCTTTTCTAGGTAGGCAGCACACTAGGTTTTGGAACAGAGCTCATTTGTGCCTCACAACTTAACAGCAAAAGAACATGGTCTGATAGTGAAGTAAATGGAAAATGTGGTGTGAGTAGATGTCCAGTAAACTTGATAATTAAACAATAAACTCTAAATGCTGCTCCACAAGGTGAGAAGCAGGGTAATATTCCACCACACCTCTGTTATTGCTTCTTTTTCCCCTTTATTCAATTCAATTCAATTCAAATCACTTTATACCCCTTCAATTTCCGTTTCTAACCTTCTGTGAAAGGCTCCCAGTCATACACGCGTCCCATAAACTCTTGACTGTTGAACGCTGCACACTGCTCAGCCCTGGAGTCTACTGGAGCACCTGGACATGCCTGGAGGGAGAGAGAGAGAGAGAGAGAGAGAGAGAGAGAGAGAGAGAGAGAGAGAGAGAGAGAGAGAGAGAGAGAGAGAGAGAGAGAGAGAGAGAGAGAGAGAGAGAGATAGAGAGAGAGAGAGACTTAAGTTATAGTGTCTCACTTCGACAAGCATTACAATGTGTGTGTGTGTGTGTGTGTGTGTGTGTGTGTGTGTGTGCATGCTTTGGGTCAAACTGTGACAGAGAGTGATACATTGGCTACCATATGGAAATAATGGTGAACCTGGAAAAACTCCCATAAATCTCTAGAGAGTGAGAGACAGACGGAGGCCAATGTTTATGGAGTCAGAGAAAGCCAAGAGCCCTGAAGAAGACAACGCGAAATGACACAAATTTTAAGGAATGAAAAACTGACAAAACACTACGGTTGGGAATTAAAAAAAACTTACATTTATTTTATTTATTTTTTTAAATAAAGTTTAAAAAAAACTTTGTTTGAAAGATTAAAAATAAGCATTGAATTCCATTCTTCCAAATTATTAATAGAACCATTAACCCTATAAAGCCCACTGTATCATATTTGATACACTAATTTCTAAGGCCTCTAAATCATCAACATGATCAAAACTTTGCTGAAAAACCTGTTGCACACAATTTACTACATGCCTTCTGTCGTCTGATTGATAGTTTATACTTTTTTATTGCAAGTAAAAGGCTTTTTTTGTGTAATTGTAAAAAAGTCCACCTTCAGGTCGTGATTTTTGCTGTGAAATCTTTACTAATTTTATAAAGTAAACATAAGGATAACCTTAAGTAATTTAGGTTTACTTGATTATCCATATACATATTTTATTTTATTTTAGAAAAATCATGTTAAACTTTGTTCTTCAATTTGTATTAAATATTATCATCTTACTTTTTGGCCACATAATTATCAGCATCTACAACAAATTGTATATTTTTGCTTTAGACAAAATTGAGGTGATTTTTCCTCCTTGACAATGAGACTTATATATATTAAAGCTGCCGTCGGCAATATTTTTTTTATCATATTCAGTGAAGTCGACACTATAATCCGACAGAACAACATAAATAAAGTGGTTTTAGAAAAAAAAACTCAAGCTTCTAACTCCACCTGGAGCGTGTTATTTGTTTTGCAAAAATCCACAGCTCCTGGATCATCATGTCCAATCAGCGCAGGGGGGTGTGAGATCTGACTGTCAATCACAGATCGGGCACAGGCCACCCCTCACGCACGTTACAATCACATGCACACGCCTGAAGTTCGCGCAGTAACGAAGAGTTATGATGGCGGATATATCTTGCTTTCAAAACACTAACAAATCAAGTAAGCTCATTTAGAGTATAAATGATAATTGCAATCTAGCCAGGGCAGCATACCTCCACATACTCCATGGTGTTGATGGATGCTGATGAGACGGGCGCGTTCACAGATAACCTGGTGCACACGCACTGACGAGCACGGACTCGGTGGGAGGGTATCCGTTGATAGTGGGGGAGGGGCATGAGAGTTGTAAACATTCAAAATTTTGCCTAAGTCCACTCAATCTGCCAGACTTGCCGACTTCAGCTTTAACACTATGGGCCCTATTTTAACAATCCAAGCGCTTGGTCTGGTTTAACGACGGGAAAAATATTCGGCGCGCCCGGCGCATGGTCTAAAAGGGTTGTTCCTATTCTCTTAATGAGTAATGGGTGTGTTTTGGGCGTAATGTGCAATAAACAGATGGGTGAAATATATTTGCTATTTAAACAACGTGGCGCAGGACGTGAAAATGATAACAGCGTCGGGCTGAAACTAGCAGAAAACACTTGCGTCGTGTCTGACAACATTGCAGCGCGTGAATGATAGGCACTATATCAAACTATTTGAACCATAAAATCCTGATGTATCAAATATGGTATGCAAAAACAAAATTAACAAGGTTAAGGAACCAGAATCGTTAAGTGGAAACTGAACCAGAATCGATAAATTCCTTGCAATTCCCAAACCACTACCATCAGGATAAAAACATATGGCATCATAAATCAAACCTATATCAGCCTTGAGAGTGCTAGAGCACAGCTCTGGTTTGGACCAGATGCTCCTCTCAAGATCCACGTGTTCGTTCACGATGCCAATGACATCAGGAAGCACAGCTCATTTTCTGTTGCCTTTTTCCTCTTCCTGTCTTTCCCCGTCCCTCTTGAACCCGACAGGAACCACCCTCAGTGGGAGAGATTAAGTGGAGGGATGTTGCAGGACACTAAAGCAGGAGGCGGGACAGGCAGAGGCAGCTGCGCACGGTACCGAGCGTGAAATTAAGCAGTCGCAGGGTCACTGAGGTGTCAGACCACAGCAGACATGGCCATTAATGACCAAACACTGTTCCGTTAATGCACACCAAACACACTGCGGCTATCCACAAACCTTCCCTAAATATTTACAACACGTCTGCAACGTCTGAGTGTGTTTGCTCGGGAAAACTCGAGCTCCGTTTATTCAAGGGGTTTAGTGCTCATACGCTTGATCGTTGATTTACTTGAATTAATCTGTGGTTTGGGTGCTTGCGGCATAACTTACGACATACATATATACATACGTGTAATTAGGCTACTTCAATGCTGACGAACATTTATAAACATTCAGAATATTGGGTAAGGTTTGAAGTGTTTGAAACCCCAGAACAGGATTGTTATCAAAAAAAGATATAAAATGACAAATATAAAAATTCATTCATTTACCCTCATTTTGCTCTAAACCCGACTTTCCTGTTTTCCTTAGTTTCATAGTTAATGTCCTTGTTTTATTAAATAAGTTCCATGGTTTCCAATTCCACACACCTGTTCAGTTTCCTAATCCACACAACCCCAGTCGACGGGTAGGGGTCTTCCTTAGCGAAAGTTTTCCCCCCAAAAGCTTCATTTCTATTCTGCTGAGGAAAGAAAGTCATATATATGGCCTACAGGGGTGAGTAAATAATCAGGAAATTTTGGGGTGAACTAAGTTAAAGTATATTTTTGAAGTATGCTTTATGTAGTAAGAATACTAACATCTATGGAAGCTTGTTTCCGCCATGGAATAAAAAATCAAAAAGATAATTGCGACTTTTTATCTCACAATTGCGGGTTTACATCTCGCAATTCTTTCTTTTTACTTCTTACTGTGAGTTTATGGGCTCTATCATACACCGGCACAACGCGTCTCCAGTCGTCGCAAGTGTTTTCTGCTAGTTTCAGCCCGACGCTGTTATCATTTTCACGTCCTGCGCCACGTTGTTTAAATAGCAAATGCATTTGCACCCATCTGTTCGCCCATGGGCTGCTGGTCTGAAAACGAGGTGTGTTCAGGCGCATTGTTGGTCATTGAGTCATTGACCAACTGAAACCTGGTCTAAAGTCAATTTTTTTTGTAATTTTTCCCGTCGTTAAACTAGCAAAAGTGTATTCGGACACACTGTAAGTGCACTTACGCCATGCGCTTTAGACCATGCGCTTAGATCGTTAAAATAGGGCCCTATATCTCACAGTTCAGTTGTGAGAAAAAAGTCCGAATTGTGAGAAAAAAAGTCCAAATTGCAAGTTTATATCTCACAATTTTGACATTATAACTCGCAATTGTGACTTTTATATCACACAATTGTGAGAAAAGGTCAGAATTGTGAGATACAAATCTGCAATTATCTTATCATTTTCTTTTATTCCGTGGCGGAAACAAGCTTCCATAAAAATCAGTGTAATAGTATACAGTACTTGTAAATGTACTACTATTTCAATACTTGGGATTAAATTGCCCTACTTTTCTGTCTGAATGTACTGTAGCCTAAATGGTTTGGTAACATTTTAGTTTGGGGACCAATTCTCACTATGTATTAACTAGTTGCTTATATACATGCATAATAAACAGATATTGGCTGTTTATTAGTACTTATAAAGCACATATTAATGCCTTATTCTGCATGACCATATTCTACATCCCTTAACAGGGTTCCAGACTGCGACCAAATTGGTCGCATATGCGACCATTTTTTGAGAATGTGCGAGTTAAAATGTTATGTGGTCGCATTTGTGCGAGTGGACGCTTGAGCAACAGAACGCCGTTGTATCAGCTGCTGCAGTCCATGTAGCCTACTCGTTCATTTTGAACATAAGTTACGCCGTAACTTATGTTCAAAATGAACGAGTAGGCTACATCATGAATCCATTTTCCAAACCGTGTTTTTGACTTATTCTGAATCACTACGGTACGCCTATAATAAGTGTTTATATTCGGACTATTTTATCCCGGGGTCGTCTCGGCTGCGGAGTAGCCCAGTGCCTGCGTGACTCGCCGTAGACATTAACGGAGAGAAGTTCCGTCTACAATCTTCTTCCGCAAGACACGTGCAGTTTGTTTATTGACGAACGTAGAAGTCACGGTGGAAAAACGCATGGGACTCACACAGCCACAGCCGTTCGTTGCTCTGGTTGGTTGTAGCGCTGTCCTATTGCGTGCCGAGGGATATTGAAAGACAACCGTTTATCCCGCCCCTCGGATTGAGGTATGCCAATTGTGAGTTCCCAGACCTAACATCTTGATGTAGGTCTGGCTTGCCAGGCTAACACTGATGGTGAAACGCGCCAATTACGAATTCACGAATTAAGGCATATAAAAATTGTCTTACGAAACACAGAGCCCCTTCCTCCAACGTCTTTTCAGCGGTTATATTTTCCTCTGTCGAGCGATTACTCTCATGATCGCTCGACAGAGGAAAAGGAAATTATTATAAAATGCAGAAGGTAAGAAGTGTGAGATTTCTGCTTTTTGTTACAACTATAAACTTTGATAACGAAAAATCTGTATCAGTTTATTATAATAACTCTAATCTTTTAAAATGTAATGCATACATTTGAATGTTTAATGATTTTTTAAAAGATAGAAAGATGATAATATAATAGACAGATAGATAGACAGATAGATAGAATATGATTCAAATGTAAATAGATAGATTGTATATAATTCAAATGTAAAATGCT